CTACTAGAGGCCCGGCCCCTCCCACCATCACACCGTCCCCTCACACACACTCGAAAAGAAAAGAAGGCACGTCCGCAGGTCCTGTCCATCACGCAGGCCTTAATTAGAGCGGATTCGAATGCACTCTTTTGTAGCCTCCTCACTCTCTCCTCTTTCTTTAACCCCCACCCGCACTCATTTTCACTCTCTTTCAAGCGGCTCCCACCCTCCCACCCTCTCTCTCATTCCTTTCCCTCTCTCCTCTAACCCCTTTTTCACTTTTGTTGCCCTCATTTTCTTGGCAGGGAGTGAGGCACCTCTCCAGACGTTTTCTTCTCCATGCCCTGAGCCCCCTGCTATCCCCCCTCCTCTTCTTCTCTCGCTGCTTTCTCCCCCTCTTCCCCTTCCAGTCTGGAAGCTGAGTGTGACCTAATGTTTGACAGACAAGTAGCCTTGGAGAAAAGACTCATCTATCAGAGGCTTGTAATTCTATTAGAATGGACAGAACATCCCCCCCAGGCCAGCATTTGGCATATTCTCTCCATCAATTTAGCTGTCTTCTAAACCCTCCGGGCCACAGGCCTACAAAATGCAGTTTATGCTAACAAATAATCACAGCCAGTTAATAAGGTGTGTGTCTCTGTGTGTGTGTTTGTGTGTCTGCACGGCAACTTTCCACCAGTTTTTTTTTCAAGGAGGAATTGTTGAGTTCTTTTGATATTAAGCATCAAAGAACAATTTCTCTTTTTAAATTCTAATCTCATCCGAGAGGCTAAAAAAGGTATAATGCAGGGAACTGTGGTGAGTTAAGATAGGAGGATCAGAACCGGCTTCTAATCACGATTGTTATCAAGATCCCGAGATGTTTATATGTAGACAACGATGGCTACACGAAACATCCATTGTCGTGGCTTGTTATCAGACCTAATTACTGATATGAGAGGCGAAGAGAAGAGCGGAGAAGAGATGAGGTTTTGCTTACATCTCCTGCTGAGATGTTAAATTGCAGAGGACATGTTTAGCGCAGATTGTTATTTGTCTGTAATCAGTGTAACCCTGTCAGTCATGATGGCTGAGATGGAAAAAGGAGAGGAGGTGGAGTGAAGCAAGAGAAGGGGGAAAGAAAGAGGAGGAAGACGTCTGGACAGCAATCAAGCGTACCGCAAACAGGAAATGCAAGTCTGAGGATGCCCCAGCTGTTGTGTTTCGGCCTCGCTGCTCTTACAGTTGAATCAAAGCAGCAGGAATAGCTCACACGACAACTTTTCAAGTGTCGCACTCCGAAAATAGTCCGTTTACATTAACAGACTTTTCCCACTATTATAACAAGCCCGGTGTTTGGAGTATTTCCATGTTGTTTGCGTCAATGCCCTAGTGTTTCCTTTAGTGAACACTTTACAGTGTGTGAGACGGACGGGAAACATGCTGCTAAGTGCTTATGTGTGTGGCTTTGAGAAGACGTGTTGTCTCACTGGTTAATGGCTGCTTGATATTGATTACAGCTGGAACGTCCGACTCACATGTTCCTAGTCCTCTCCAGATAACGAGGGTTAACCACTCGACCCCTTACATGCCAAAGGGGCTCCGTTCATACCTGGATCCATAGCCCCGGCCTAAGCCACATGTCCCACAGCTCCAGAGAGGCCGCAGCCCTCGGGTCTCCGGCTTGGCCCGTAGATCACGGCCGTGTCATGGAGCCACACCAGAGGGAAATGTGCCAGACTTCATTAAGGGCAGATTAAAAGCAATCGGAGGCCACTTTAAGTGTGATTTATTTTCACTGTGAGGTTGCTGGGTCGACTGCAGGAACGCAGCGGCTTTACCCCGGAATGATGATGTCATGGTTTCAGTGTTTGCGAAGTGTAAATAGCAGATTGGGAAGGAACTTTGTCCTCGGCAGCAGGGTTCATCTTGGAGTCTAAGAGAGCGGAAGACAAAAGATACACCCTTACTGTCCTCCATTTTAGATCTGAAACAAATCAGAAGACGATGAAGAGAATATTCAAGTGAAACCATTTTGCTTTTAATCATTCATTCAGAAAAGACAACATGTCTTAATGAGAAGATGTCCTGCGTTCCTCTCTTTATATCATTATAAAATGAATATGTCAAGCTATATAACAGTCCACTTTTTTGATCCAGACTAAAACATTTCAACTATTGGTTGGATTGCCATGGAATTTGGTAAAGATCTTCATGGTTCCCAGAGGATGAATCCAACTGAATTTGTTGATCCCTTGTTTTTACATTAGAATCCAATGAGGTTGACTTTTTCTTCCCTTTAATGAAATATCTCAACAAATATTTGATGTATTGGTAAAATGTTGGTATACATAGTTAAGGTTCCAAGAGGATGAATTCATCTGACTATGGTGAACCCCTTGTCTTTCCGATCACGCCCCCATGAGGTTGACATAATTTTGCTTTTTAGTGACATTTCTGGACAACTACTGGTTGGGTTAACATGCAATTTGGTATACATAGTCATGGTTCCAAAAGGATGAATTCATCTGAATTTGGGGATTTCCTGTTCTTATACAAGTTTTCACATACTTTGTGACACATCTAAACTTTAGTAGACTGGATTGACACAACATATGGTACAGACATTCATGATCCCCAGAGGATGAATCCGATTGACTTTGGTCAACACCTTGTCTTTCCACAAACTCCCACAGGAAGTTGGCATGTCAGTGACATCACTTGATAACTAATAGATGGATTGTTATGATATTTGCTTGGGATTGTCATGGTTCCTGGCGGACTTTAGTAATGCCTTCACATTTAATTGTTCAATATCCCAAGATCTACTAGGTAGATTGGCCAACACTTTTGCAGACATATTCATGTAGAGGATAAATCCTTACCGATTGTGGTGACTATTGATCTAGTACCACCATTGAAAGTGATATTAATATTAAAATGTCAACTTCATTAAATGTTTTAACAACTATTGGATGGATAGCCATGAACCATGTTACATACATGCATCCCCCCCTTCCCCTAGGAGGAAGTGTGACTATGAACAATAAAAGTAATCTTAACTTGCTGACTCCAATGGGAGGGTCTGAAGAGCGTCTGTGTATGAGCTTCAGTGACATGAAAGTACATTCACGCTATTTATAGAAGCACTAATCACGAGCACCTATACACATTAACATGATGACCTCATTCCTTGGAAATGCCACTATTTTATAGGTGACTGTAAGAGGAGGGGAAACGATCTAATTGCCTACGGTGTGTCAGACTGAATGTGAAAGCTACGCTCAATACACGTCCTTTATCCTTACGGAACCTCACTTTGTGTCACGTTGCATAAGGCTTTTCTGTTTATGTAGAATAACGTGGACAGTCCAATACTCCTACATATCCCCCATAATCCTCTACTCATTATGATGCACCGTTCTTCTGCCACATGTACTTTTAACAGATTAGTTCTGATCGCTTCTCAAGGCACATGTCTGTATTGTATTGTACTTGGCTTATAATGTGTTTTTCATTCTACTGCTTCCAGGCTGTGGTTTGATCACACTCTTACAACAACAGCGTGGTATGTCCACCACTATCGTCCTGGAAACATATTCCTATTGGCTACTCATCCTAGGCCGCAGCTGTGGCCCTCGTCAAAGTTTTTGCACAGGAAGCGTCTCATTGGCTCGCAGCAGATCAGGTATCTTTATGTGACTGTCTGATTGGCCGTTGAGGTATCAGGTATCCCAGATGTCTAGGCCATCAGACGGGACATACCAGCTCTGTGGCAACTGGCCTCTGTTTGTTGTTACTATGACAACACTCTGATGGTCTCAGCCAGGCTGCTGAGGATGCAGCAATGGCAGAACTCTAGCAACACTTAGTAGTGTAAAGAAAGACGAAATGACCTCTGCAGACTTTTCCTCTGTTTTCCATGCACCTTGGAAGTAGGTGAGCCAGAAATGCATACTCTGATACAGCCATGGTATCCTCACGCACACAGAAATATAAATACTCACAGACTGCATAATCATTTGGGTTTTGAAGCTGATGGGCTGTCAGGGCACAACGGGATGTAATAAAAAATAATTTCAGGAACCATAAACCATGTCTTTAAATGTCTCTTATCTCTCCTTTCCAATTATATTGAAGTCCACACTCCTGTATTCCTTGGAATCGATTTCATCACAACCATTAGGGGGCGGCATTGATTGGATAAATGCACTTAAATTAAGAAAAACTCTCCTTCTCCCCTCTCTCTCTCACGCACGCACGCGCACACACACAAAGGGGGCACAGACATGGACATGATCAATTATGTGTCAAGCATTTCTTCCTCAATGAATGAATGGCCCAATGACTATAGGCTACCGACCGTCTATTGTCTATTGACACTAGAGACTAAGTTCTCATGCAGTTCATTATCCCAAAAGGGGACGACTAGAAAGAGATCCAAAGAGACCATTAATCATCATTGCTTTCAAAGAAGAGTAAAGAAGGCAGCCAAATAGCAGATACTGTAATCCTATACAGTACATTCTATAGATTCTTGCGGAGGAAAACTAAATATAGAAAGGTTTACACTGAAATGATAGCCTCGTTATGGAGAGAAAATATTAGAAATTCACTACCGCTCTGACATAATTACAATTCCCTCTGGCGAGATTTTGATAGGCCTGTTAGGAGTGTTATCATAAATGTTTAATTCCTGATCCCCGGGGACAAGCAGGTCCCGGTTTTAAAGGGGCCAACGTTTTTGTTCTCCTGCTGACACTTTAACCCACAGCCTATCACCTACCAAAGCCTTCAGTATGACGAATAACTCCAAAGTCCATTTCAATTTGGTCAATGGCCCGGGCTGAGGTGGTGGTGGTGGTGGTGCTGAGGGGGGGTTGAGAAGTGGGGGTCAACCCAATAACAGACTCCACTCCCTTCTCTCCCCCCCCCCTCCTCCTCCTCCTCCACGTCCCCATAAATGCCTTCGCTTCCTAGTTCGGACAGAGCGCTCTGATTGGCTGCGACTCGCTCAGTGGGCTGTTCCCTCCGCGCGGCTCTCGGTCTCGGGTTACAGTTGAGCTCGAGCTGCTGCACTTAGCGGAGTGCACAGTGTTTTACACGGTTAAAAAAACAATACACCGGCATGGAATTGTTGCCGAGCGGATTTACAGCCACGGAGCTTGTCCGGTGAGCAGGTCTGACCTTCCCTCGGCACTTTTTGTGTACGCAGACAACCCGGGAGACGTACAGTTTTTATTCACGCACCGGCCGCGCAGCATGTCCCAGTCGGACTAGAAGAGGCGACCCTGCTGGGAGCGCAACACGGGAACGCCGCTGAGAGCCGCGAGGAATATTTACAATAGAAACTCAATTCCTTTTGGAGAAGAATAGCAAAGGGCAGCAGGAGGCGGAGGAGTGAAAGACAACACTGGAATGAAGTGGACCTCGGGATTCCCAGCGTGCTGCGGAGTTGTGACTGATGGATGAATGTGGCCATCTGTAGGCTATATCCAGCGACAGGTACAGGGACATTCAGGGGAGCTTTGACAAAGACGCTTCCTCGGCAGCCGCTTCGCCCCCAATTGTGTCCCTCTAAAAAAAAAAAACTGCACTGCACGTCAGATCTCTCTCCAAGAAGGTCGACTCTTTTTGTCTCAGCCACAGGTCAAGCAGGACACTGCTTCTTCCATACTAGATCCGACCAAGAACCGGCGGATAGTTTAGTCAAGGACATCAGATCTGGAGCAGGTTTTAACAAAAAGGTCTGACAGAAGGACATGTATCTGATATCGACCTCACATGCTCCCGACTGATCGTAGCTCACCTCCCCGCAGATAACGCGCTCCGTCCGACGCTCCGGGTTATCGCCTCACTGTCTTGTCGCTGTACTCAGATCAGAATGGCGGGACTCGGGTGTTGGAAGTATTACCTCTGGATCTTTATTTTAATGTGCAGGTCGGCGCTACCTTCAGCCAAATCGATGGACACTATCATTTGGAGCTCGCAGAATTTGAGGTAAGTCTCCTGTTTCATTTTGTCCAAACATGCCAAAGTGTGTGTGTGCGTGTAATGGAGGACTAACTGTGAAAAGTTGCAATTATGTGAAAGCTGTTAAATGTTCTCTTGCAATTATGAAAAATGAACACAATGCAATTTTTTTTTCTTCCTGTAATTGTCATTCCTGCGCCGCTCGGTTTTCTGCTGATTTATTTCTCAGTGGGGGATTTCCAAACACCAAAGAAACGCACAAGGTGCAGGCTTACAGTGTACAGTAGGCCTCACTTAAAACACAATAATACATGGTTAATTATAGTAATGTATGGCAATATTACATGCTGGTGTCTATTAACAAACGGAGGGGAAAGTCTGCTTGCATACTTGAGTTATGACTCTCAGTGTGGTGAGAGTTTGTCCACTTCTACTTCTGCCCTGCTATTTCTCGTAATTGATATAATGGATAAAGTGGATAATACTTGAATAATACAACAAGTCAAGGAAAGAATGCCACGTGTGTCAAGGTGTAGTCCAGTGTTCTTGACCATGGGTTCCTTGTTGTGAGGGCCTCCAAAAGTTTTCAAATTACCACAAATGTGTGATAATGGTTTCAGAGGAAGAAATGCTTGAAAGGAATGTAATTTTCCCAAACTGTCTTGACTTTGATCCAGCCTAATTTCTCCACACTTAAAAAATAACAAGGGCAAGTTTCTCAAAAGCAAAGCAGCTGAAGCCAGATTCATATTATTCCCCTCAAAACAAGCAGAGTGAGCCCAGACTGCTGATAATAAAATACACTCTGGTAACAATTATCACCCACTTAGACTTGACTCCCACATTTGCATGATGTTGGAAAGCATACATAAGGGGAAAATAAACTTAAAAAAAGGAAGGGGAGAAATAAAACCTCCCCTGTTTTTCTGTATGAGGAGCCGGGGAGCTGACCTTCATTTGAGCTCGCTGCACCAAGGGGAAATGGAGAGTAGCTCGACCAGCTTAACTAGAACTTACCCATTCAAGTGAATCCATGATTTATCCCCCAAATGTCAGATGTCATAGGAGATAGTTGTGCAGTCAGTGGGTATGAATATTGCTGCCAGGTTCAGTGGAGTGTGTGTGTGTGTGTGTGTGGCCTGATCCTAATGGCAAGACTACGGCCCATCAGCTTTTATTTGAGTATGGCTGCGGATGTAGTGGAACAATGAGCTTCATCAGAGAGAGATATGACACACACTTATTCCACATGGACCAAACCCCACATTGTGTGTCAGGCATGGCTGGAGGGATGAAAATAAATTGGAGAGACATTTATTGATTGATGATGTCACCTGCAGGGAATGGCTTCGAAGGTTACCACTCCGTTTTCTTTTGGGAAGATCATTACTCCATCTGTTCCTCACAACAAATAAATAAAAAACCCACGCCAGGTCTAATATTTCATGAAGTTCACAGTGGAACAATAATGCACTCTGCAAAGTGTTCCCTCAACCTAATTATCCTGCTGCTCTGCCTTAGAAAACAAAAGACAATTATCTTGCTGTGTGCAGGCTTTCGCAATAACAAAAGACAAACCTGTTTTTCTTCTGAAATGTATCTGTCAGCAGCGGCTCTGATAGGCAATAAAAAAGGGAATAGTCGTACAGCAATCAGCATCTGTCTTCACTGTTTGTTGTTTTAAACGCCACCCCTGTCTCAACCTATATTTCTCCATAGTGATAACCCAGGGTGTATAGAAATGTACAGTACACTATCTGGTGACTTATCTAGATTTACGACGTCTTACTTCCTGTTCTCACTTTGGGGAGCTCTGCTGCCTCAGCTAATACATGAATCTGGCCCTCTCCTGCACACTGTGCCACATACACACACCATATATAACCATACCAGTGCCTCCCCACAGGCCATGAGTTATGAGACAAAGTATAGGAACCCAGCAGGTTTTGGCCCACGGTGTGTGTGTGTGTTTGTCTTTATATGTGAGTGCAGACTTATGTGCGTGTCCCTTGGAGCCTTCCTGCTGTTATGGATTTCCATGTGAGGATGCTATCACTCCCGCGCCTGCATTATCAATAACTGGGGTTTGCTTAATTGATTTCCTCCCAGCGTGCCAGAACAGGCAACATACATCATCACTGTAGCGCCGTCTGCAAAGGAAACGAAGAGGAAGAAGAAGAAGAAACATGCTTGAGTTTGAGTTTTGCTGCAGGATGTACCAGACCTTTTTGATATTTAATTTGAAGCCGGATGAGTAAAAATGGCAAGAGGGATTATGCAGGAAGGGGGTGAGGGTGGAGGAGCAGCCGAGCAGAAGAAGGCTGGATGTGTCAACGTCCTTGGCCCGTAAAAAAAAAGGGCCTAACATTTGATCAGGGCAAATCGGATTAGTTCTCATTTAGCTGAGTGGGATTACGCCCCGAAAATGTCACTTTGTTATGACTGATCACGTCCCATCGGTTTGGCTGAAGCTAGCAATGTACCGGCACTACACACACACACAGTAACGTTCACAGTGTGCTGAGGAATTCTGCAGTGATGCCAATTTAATGATAATCCAACAAGGTTGCTATGAGTGGTTCCTGCCCGTCCTCTAACCCTCCTTAGCTAACATTGACCTCATGACCTGTAGCTACCATCGCCTGTTTGCAAGCAGCTCAATAGATCAACAAAATGATGATGGGAGACTGGCGTAAAAAATAACACACACACTTTGCCCACATCTGAAAAGATACCGAGAGGAAACAGCCACGGTCCGGCCAGGAGTCTGCTGCACTGGTTTTGAACTCCTCACTTTGCGGCGAGGCTTTTTGAAACCGTTTTTTCATTTTAGCCCGTGTTGAGTTTGAAGCCCACAAAATAGCAAAACAGGGAAAGAGGCGCTTGTGTGGATAAAAGTCAGCTAAAGCCTCTGTTGCTGCAGGCCTTTACTTACTCGTCTTATTTTGCTGTCCACTGACCCCAGCTCGCAGTTTAACAGTCGGCTGCTTTCGGTTTATAATGTGCTCGCACGGTTTAAAGGCTCAGGGAGTTTGACGATGATTAAACTGGGTTTGATTACCACCGTGATATTAAGAAAACATGTTTATTTTTACCCCCAAATGAGAACGTTTTCTCAGCACGGAGAACAACTTTGAAAAACACGAGGTGGCAAGATGTTAAATCAATTTCTCCAACACTATTTTATTTGCCTGCTGTTAGTAGAATAGGTACACAGAAGACCTCATTAAAGTTCAGTCTTCGTAATTAGCTGTTTCCGATAAGATAATTGGGAGGGGGAAAAAAGTAGTTTTTCCTGTGAGGTAATTAGGAAAAAACCAAGTATGCCACATCTTTGTTTTTAGAACGAGATGTTATCAAAGCACATTTTTTTAAGGGCTCGTTCTCGTTCACGGGGAAACCATTGACCCCCTCAACGTGGTGTTTGGGAAATGCTCCACTGAGCTGACATTGAAATATAATGAGGATTTCAGCAGGAGTTGCTCAAACAACAAATGCAAACTGCCACAACCTGTCGAACAGGAGCGGGATGAAACTTAGGGACTAGAGCCGAAACAGGATTTTGGTTCTTCAGTATGGGTCACTGCCGAGAGGGTCAGAGGCCTGTTTTTGTTTCTTCCCCGCATGCCCCCTTTACCCCTTGCGATACACCTTCTCTCTCCCTGCTTCCCCGAGTCGCCCCCCTCTCTCCCCCTTTAGACTCTGATCGTGTTTCCCTCTGATAAAGATCTCATTACACACAGAGAGGACTCAGAGCCTGAGCCCCACTCAGAGAGAAAGAGAGAGGGCTGACCAATGAGAAATACTTCTGGAAAGCAACTGGCCCGTGGTGCAGTGAAGGCTCCCTGTGTCTCACTCTGAGGACAGCTGCGTTTGCTTTTACGTGCATACACTTCTGTGTCCACATGTCTGTTGTTTCAGCGGTGTGGAACCACGGATTCTTGGTTTGGTTATCTTTTCGGGATGCACCTGGGTACAGAAAAGGGGCTTCTGCTATTTAGGTTATTTCAGGAAAACAATTTAAAAAACAGTTTTTCCATCATGGTTTTTACTCCACATGGACTCACTTTCTCCACTGGTGGTTTGGTTTCCACATCATTGAAAACTGATCATTCAGCTTTTTTTTAATAGTGTTATTGATGCGTTTATTTCTTTATATTAGACGAGGCGTGCACATAAAACCTGGTTTTGTTCCCCGGCTTTGAAAGCATTTGTAACTCATTTTTAGCTTTTTTTTAGAGATCCCAACTGGTGCTCATGAGTCCCAGTTGGTTTTCTCTCAAGACATACTATAGGGACTGATTCACAACTGTAACAACAGCTGATGCAATGAGTCAGTTGGAGAAAGAGCAGACAAGATGAGTCAGTTTACGAGTTATTCGATCAAAAACAATCGGCTCTGACAGTCAATCAGTGGGAGGCGGTATCGATCAAATGTTTTTATTACTGCATCACATAATCAATATACTGTGATTTATTATTAGTTCTAGAAACTCAGTTGTACAGCGAAAACACTTATGCTAATCCAACCACACACGATGGTTTTTCAGGTTTATCCAGGGGATTAATAAACCTGACGGACCAAGATGTACTTCATCACCTTGGTGCAACAACACTGTGTATACAACTACAGCCAGAAAGCGTAATGCAAAGAGAGAAACATATATTCACTGCATAGCATCTCATATCACATAATGACAGAATTCTCCACTTTTCTATTTGATATGCTTTTAAATGAAAATGTGGTTGTCACCATGAGACTGTCATGTGATTGTCTAGACCAGGGGTCTCCAACACGTTTGCGAGCTACCGGTAGCTCGCAATCCCTCAATAAGTAGCTCGCCAAGCAAATCCAAAATGTAAAAAATACACACAAAAAAGGGAATGTAATTAAAAGAATCTACCCATAAACCAAACCTCAATCATAGCGAACTCTATCTACTTACTACAACTCTATATATATCTAACACCCCTCCTCCCCCCACCCCCCACAATGAATATCGACCAATCACGTTCTTGCAACAGTT